GTTTTTTTATTTGGATTTCGTTTTAAGAAAACCGATAAAACCTCAAACTCATAACACATGAGAGTTTTGGTTTCATTTCAAAGCCCTTTCTCCAATTTCTAAGCCCATCACTCTATTTAAAAGCCTATTCCAACTTCGATTCAGTTTTCATAAAATTAATTACCTACAAATGCTCTGTTTCCGTGAGTTACAAGACTTGGAAATTGTCAATGGTGTGTTCCATTTACAAAGGAGAATAAACAACACAAGGTCTTTGCTCATATCATATTAGAAAATATATCCACATTCAGACAAACAAGTATCCATCATAGGCACATACATAATTTTAACTTTATTGCAACCCAAATCTATAGAAATAATCAAACCAACACATCTCTTGGACTTATAATCCAAGGAAGAAAACATTTTCAAGTACTGAAGAATCTGGCGATAACACATGCCTCCATTACTTCTAAGGCCTTTCCTGATTTAATGCATCTTGGAGTCTTGTATTGACCTATTGAAGCACCTTGTGAGATGAAGAAGTCCATTAGAGAATCAAACGTTCCTTGACGCACCACTCTTATCTCTAGAGGCCCGACCGATCCGTCTTTGAAACGACATCTTTTGTAAACATTGTCAAGTGAATCCTCCATCACTAAACAACACTTGGAGAATGCATCTTCATTGAGCTCCAAGTACTTCTTCTTCTCTCCTTTGGCCTTTACTTCCAAATAAACCACGTAATGACCCGGAAACTTTGAGGTGTCAGCATAGCTAGTGAAGTCGTTCAGGACAAGATCCGATGAATTGAGAACGAGCTCCGCTTGATTCACCGCCTTAAAAAGATCTTCTTCGTTGGTTTTATCGGAATCAATGCTTAAAACCACGTTCTCTCTTCTTACAAACTTAAACTCAGGCGCGTTGTTGTAGAAACCAGTCACCAATAGAATATCTCCCACTCTCATTCTATACAATCCTGAAAAGAAGAGAAAAACATATTCACAAAAGATTAGTTAAAACCATGTAAGAAAAATGATTGTAATTTTATTGAATGTTTTGTAAGCTCACCTGCGAAATTTGTGACCACAGGTTCATAAGTACAACCAAGTTTCACATCTTCAAGGTCGACCACATCGCGCTTGTCTCCATCCATTGTTATGAACTCAAAGTAAGACATGTTAGGCATGAAAGCGTAAGAAACATCTTCAGGTTTGCACAAAGGATCTAGATTGATCCCGAATGTAGTCTCGGAAGAACCGTAAGTTGTTGAAACGAGTGGCAAGTCGTTGCAATAGTAGTTCAATGTGGGAACGTATTGTCCCATTGAACCTGTAACAACAGTTTCAATATATTTGATGTTTGGCCAGAGTCTATTGACTATACCTTTCCAAGACTTTTGGTTGCATATTGCTTCAATTGTGTCTGCTAAGTCAGGACGTGGCCCTCCAAGGACCAAAGACACCGAGTTTTGACAACCGAGGTCCGTGACCCACTTGCTTAGATGTCCTGTTCGGATGTTTGAACACAACTCTTCCCAAGAATTCTCAAGAAACTTGATTGCTCGTACCGTGACCGAAGCGAAAATGGAACCCATTCTCACAACCTCGTCTCTTTGGACCAAGCCACATAGCAAATGGCAGTATAGACTTTCTGTGTTGTTAGGACACAATATGACTTCATCAGGGCTTGTATACGAGTAATACCAGTTTGATGGTCGGTTCTTGAAATAGTCGCTCTTTGTATAGCTGCTTGTTGCGACTCGAGCAGGCAAACCAGAAGGAGTAATGAATTCTTGTTTAGTGAAGAGAAACATCATTCCTTTTCCTTGCTTCAAACCACTCACATGCCTAAACAGAACAAAGAAGAGATTTTCTTCATCATGGGTCTGGTCCAAATCATTGAAAAGTGTAGACGAAAAAAAGTATTGCACTTACTTGGTTACAACGTGACTACGAAGATCGTAGATGAATGTTAAATTATCCAAGTACTTGTTGTTCCATGGCATCATCTTTTGTGCTCCTCCCGAAGTTCCCGAACTAGAAAACGCAATCAAAACATTTAGTTTCATAACAAGAAAGAAACTATAATCAAATAGAGAGCTTTCTTAGTTTTTTATGTACCTTAGCAAAAAACCGGTAATAGGTCGGGCCGATAAAACATCGGATGATTCTCCATTAACGATACGGTCGATGTAAGGCTTAATCTCTTCATAGGTCACGACCGGTACGTTTTTCTTGAAGTGCTCTTTGTCAAAGCTATTGACGAGAAAACGTTGGAGATACTCTGTTTTCGCGTTACGCGTGAGTATCTCTTCCAACAAATCGTCTTGTATTTGCTTCACATTCAAAGTTAAATCCTCGAGCTTCTCCTCGAACCCTTGGTTGATATCGAAGATTTGCTTCATAGTTGTTTAGCTGTTTTTTTCTCAAAAGAAAATAATTTTTTTTTTTTAAAAAAGGCTCACTCAAAGGAAAATATTTGGTTGTCTTTAGTTTACATGAAAACAAAGAGTGAACACTTGGTTCTATATATAGCAAGAAAAAAACACTAAACAACCTAAATCGGTTTTGGCAGTTGGTTAATTAAGTCTGGTCAAGGTTTAAATAATATTCTAATTGTAGAAAAGTCTCGAGCAAGAAACACTATTTGGTATGTTTAAATTATACGACTCAGACCTTAAAGTGTGAAACGGTGAAAATGCTTCTTCTTTTCTGTATTTCAACAAC